GACCGTGGGTTTGGGCATACCTGTCCATGGGGAAGGGTAGCTCTTAGGGAAGCCAGCTACTTTGAGGGGTAAATTTGCTTTTGGGGGAGGAAAGGGAGGCAGGGGAGAGGGGCAAGGACAAAACGGTGGGGAGGAGCACACCCAAGTGATCTGATCACTCATCACTCACCACTGACTGAGAAACAGCTGCTCACCAATGAGCTTCTGGGTGATTCTCCTATTTCCACCTCCCATCGTACCATGTGAGCAGGGAGGTTACAATGTCTGCTCCCATGCTCACTTTTTCTGTGGGTTCTGAGTTGTCAGGCAGGGTGGCCAGTGCTTTAACCCACTGAGCTGCCTGGCCTGCCCTGGGCTGACTTTCTGAGATGCCCCTCTCCTCATGCAGTGGTTGGTCCCTTTGTCAATGCCCTCCGTACCGGAAGTGCCTCTAGTATCTGCTGCTGGAAACCCTCCTCTCTTAGTATCTGGCTTGGCCACTTCTTTGGGGATTCAGACCCCATAATTCAGGAATAGTGAAACTCACTATGGCGGTTTGAATGAAAATGGCCCCCTTAGGCTCACAGGGAGGGACACTATTAGGAGGTGTGGCCTTGTTAGAGAGCTGTGGTTTTGTTATACTAGCCACAGAAGAACAGCACGGCTCGGCAGTGTATGTGGTTACTGTCTTGAGAGTAACCAGCATGCATCTCAGATGGGGAGGTCCATTGCTAAGCTTCCAGGATGTTGGTTCAATATTTTGCTGGCATTTAACAGTAGTAGCATCCAGAGCCAAGTCAAAGCAAAGGTTTGGTCCAAGTTTCATCCCACAGTGGATTCTTTTCTACGTTCTCTTTCTCCGTGGGCCACAGAAGCAGGATATTTTCATTTACCCGACACATCTGCTCTTTCTTCCTGTCCGCCCTGTATCTTTACTGTCTCACTCTTCACTTCCCTTCCCTCCCCTCCCCTTTCCCTCACTTCTCTTTTCTCTCTTTCCTCTCTTCAGTTCCTCCCCCCTTCTCTTCCTCTTTCCTTCACTCCTCTTCCCTCCCTCTCCTTTTGAGACAAGGTTGAGTTCAAGCCAACTTCTTACTGTGTAGCTCAGACTGACCTCAAACTCACTATACCCGTCTCAGCCTATCACGTGTTGGGATCGCAGGCATGCGTTCTCACACCCGGATTTGTATCTCTTCTTGTCCTTCCATTTCAAAGCTGACTTATTCTTTATGAAAGATTTTTTTTATCACATATACAGTGTTCTGCATGCAGATATGCCTGCATGCCCAAAGAGGGCACCAGATCTCATTACAGATGGTAGTAAGCCACCATGTGGTTGCTGGGAACCTCTGGGAGAGTAGGCAGCACTCAGTCCTTGAACCATCTCTCCAGCCCCACAGTTGTCTTCCATGAACCATTTTACAGCCCCAGCATGGGTTTGCTGACTTGTGAAATATCCAAGCCTGATAGTTTCTGGGGAGTCCTTATATCTCTACTCACGTCGCCAAAAACTTAGATCCACAAAGCCACCTAAGTGCCAGGCACAGCAACCCATTCAGCCGGGGTGGGGATGTGCCTGTACCATGGTGACAGGAACGCTACTGTGGCCCTGCCTCCCCCATGTTCTTTTAGGGAACCTTGATAATGTAAAACCTTAATTCCCATTTGTCTTCGGAGCACTCAGGATGTTTGAAATAGAGAAACAGAAGAACCGCCATTGTGTTTCTCAGGGAATTCTGCTGTGTTGGGTCAGCAGTTCTGCTTAGTAGCAAGAGACAGTGACCCTGTCTTGGCCCCTCTGAGTTTGTGCTCTCCAGGGCCTTGTAGTCCACCCCAAGGTGAGCAAAATTCCACAGCAGTAACCGCCGTCCCCTGCTTAAGTGAAGGTCAGAGCCGCAGCAGCATTTGTGCGTTGGGTAGTTTTAAAGTTTGTTTATTAAAACTGGTTGTAGCTTTGGGGGCTGGAGGGATGGCTCAGCAGGAAGAGAATCTAGAGAAGAAGCAAGGGCATCTTCCCATTAAAACCAGGATTGTTCTGTAAGTAAATCCGAATAGAGGGGGAGGAAGCATCTAATTAGAATTATAACGACACCCCCAGCCTGCTCCCCCTTTGCACCGTATTGTTCAAACTGATTTTATTTTTCAAATTGCCAATTTAAAAACACATCCATTTGAAGGTACACAAAGATCAGTCCTTGATTTTCAATTTTGGCTTCAGTCTCACTGTAAGGGAGCATCGCTAACAGTGGTCCCCCCCCCTCCAATCTGCTGCAGCTGTGTTAAAACTCCACTCGGGAAGGAATGTAGATTTGTGTTTTGTGTGAAGAAAAACTAAAATGACTAAGTGTAGCACAAACCACTTAGGTGTGAGGCTGGGAACAGAGGGAAGGAATCTGGTTACCTGATATTCTTTACAGTGTGGCAGATCACAGGTCTGTGTCTCCTGCAATGCATGCTTTAGGATGGTTGAACCTAAAGCCACACAGGGTCCCTTGTCTGAATGAGGATCTGAGTCATAACACCATTTTTATATGAGGAAGTTATAACGTTTGTTTATTCAAACTGTTTATAGATTTAGGGGCTGGAGGGATGGTTCAGCAGGTAAAGTACTCTCTGTGTAAGTGTGAGAACCTAAGTTCAAGCCTCGGAACCCACTTATCAGTCATGTGTGACAGCATGTGTCTGTAACCCCAGTGTTGGGCAGGTGGAGACAGGAGGATTGCTGAGGGTTTTTGACCAGCCAATCTAACTGGATTGTTAAGTTCCAGGTTCAGTGAGAAATTCTTCTTCAAAAAATAAGATGGGACTCAATAGAGGGAAACACCCATAGTTGACCGCAAATTCGTGTGCGCAAATGCACACACACACACACACACACACACACACACACACACAGAGAGAGAGAGAGAGAGAGAGAGAGAGAGAATTAGAGAGTCAAAAGAAGCATTTGTTCTTGAAAAAGTGCAGAACTGCAGAAAAAAAGCCTGTATTTCTTTCTAAAGTAGCCTACCTGGCAATTAGCCTGTAATAAAACAAAAGGTGTGTTTAAACCCAAAGCAGCTCTATAAACAGATACTCAAACATTAATTCCAATTTAATTGCTTCACTGTGGGCACAGTGGAGATTTCAGACCATGGAAGAAGCATCATCTCTGTGTGCATTTAGCTGAACAGCATGCCAAGCATTGCTGTGGCTGCGTGATTGACACCCACACCATCCTATCTCCAATAATGCACTCTTCGTCAAGTCCAAGTTCCTCATCTTCTCCCGGGGTTCTGGACAACTAACCAAGCCTGTGAGCTGGGATGCATAGGCCATGTAGCCCACAGGGGTAAGGAATCAGAGCTTTCTTACAGGGCAGCATTTTCGTCTACTCCAACTGGTTACCTTGCCTGGCTTGGGCCATTTGTTTTCAAGGGAGACTCCCTCAACCTCAGTAACTCTCTCTCCTAACTCCTTCCTCCCATCTCAGCCTAGGCATTATTCCCACGATCAGTTTCTGTGCTTTATTTCCCTTCCTCTTGCCGTTTAGGGAATCTGGGGGTGGCAGGGGGTGTGTTTCATTTTTTACTGTTTTCTCCAGGAGACTGACTTCCAGGCTGTAGAAATCACCTCGCACACACAGCGACTGTGGGCACTGAGTTGCGGCTCTGAGTGGGTGATGGAAAGGCTCCTTTCCTGCGCATTCCAGGATTTTGTCTCGGCACCAGTGGTCTAGCATCATGTGCTGCTCTGTATCTTGCTCTGCCGTTGCTGGCGGCAGCTGCATGCCCCTGCGCTGAATGATGAAGCAGTTTTCTTTTGAGTACAGTAGGGACTCAAATAAGAAGTTGTGGGACCACTAATGTCTGGCTGCATGGTTTAGAGATAGACTTTGTTTTTCTGGGGCTGGAGACCGGATGCCCCGCGTGGCTTGTTCAATCATCATTTCCCAGCGAGTTCTTTGTTATTTTATCTCAGTGCTGTTTTTCTGAAGGGCTGCTCCTCCCTAGGCTTATGCAGGTGGCTTTGAACCAGGCTGATCAAACTTGGAGCAGCTGTGTGAGGCAGAAACTCACCACTCAGGGGAGGAAGAAGCTCGAGCCAGGGAAAGCAGGTTTCCCTGGAATGAAGAAAACCCAAGAATACTACAGCAGCAGCGCCACCCTGCTGAGTGGTACTGAGGTAGAGCTGAGCCCTCACTCAGAACTGCAGCTTCTCTGGGGAGGAACGGGGATAGCAGAGCACATTTTGGTCAAGGTGTCAACTGCCTAGGGGTCCCCAGCCCGCCTATTCTTGTGCCACTCCTGTAAGCCAACCATCTCCAAACTTTTCCATTCCTTCCCTCCAGGGGCAGAGGGCTGGCAAAGTACCTGGGTTCTGGGAACAGAAAGGATGGTACTGAGTGTCACATTTGGTTCTGCGCCTTCTAGCACGTGACTTTAACCCTAATCTCTCCAAGTTGCAGCCCTGCAAAGCAGGAAGCACAAGACTTGTGCTTGGTGCTGGTGTCTGTGAGAGCCGGAGGTCCTGAATGGAGACTGGCAATGGGTGCAGCATGGGGTAATCTCCGCTGCAGGCAATGAATGCTCCAGGGACGGAGGGCTTCAAGGTTGGACTTTTTGTGATGCTTCAAGTCCTGAACGGGGAGAGTGAGGATTAGGCTGGTCAGTCTGAATTAGTCCCTTCAGTAGCGAAGGGGAGGTTTTGATTTTGTTAAACAGAGTCTGGGATTTCATGTGTCAGCGTGCTGCCTGGCAATTAAAATCGGGAGGGTTTAATCTGAAGAGAGTTCCAGCTCCGTTGTTTGCCCTTTTAATCTTGTCTGTTGCCATGGGAACAGCAAGTGATTGCAATCACCACTGTTTGTATTGTGAGCCTGCTCCCATCAATGTGGCTTTTGAAAAACAAGAAATAAAAATCTTGACTTCTGCATGCCACTCATTACTATTCAGAGCGAACCAGGAAGTTCCATCAAATGCTTCCCCGCACATGCTCTGAAATTCCCACCAGCCCCATTTCTGACCTGCTTTCATTTCCCGACTCAGAGCATCACCAGGCAGGATGGATGCTGGGTGAGCTGAGGACCCAGTGCTGGTGAGGGACTGGCTGCTGAGCTTCCCCCAAGGAGTGATGGATGTGCATGGGGCTGCTCTGGCTCCTCCAGCTCACAGTTTGTCACTTTTGCCTTATTTATTTATTTACTTTGTGCATTTGTGGGTGTGCACACCCATGTGCGTGCATGGTAGGGTCACCTGGCTGAAGCAGGGAGGGGAGAAAGTGGGTCAGAATCGGGGCAGGTGGGAATTTCAGAACATGTGCAAGGAAGCAAGCATTTGATGGAATTCCCTGGTTCGTTCTGAACAGTAATGAGGCGCGTGCAGAAGTTAAGATTTTTATTTCCTGTTTTTCAAACGCTACAGGCGCAGGTTTGCCACAGCACATGTGTGGGGGTTGGAGGATAACCTCGGGTCTCGGTCTTTGTTTTCTATCTTGTTTGAGACAGGGTCTCTCTTTTGCTCTTTCCCGCTGTGTGTTCCAGGCTAGCTGGTCCTCCAGCTTCTGGGGATTCAACTGTCTCCACTCCCATCTCATTGTAGGAGTGCTGGGATTACGGATGTGACCTACCACTCCCGGGATTTGATGTGGACTCTGGGGATTCAAACCCAGGTCTTTGCACTTTTACAGTAAGTGCTTTGCCCATGGAGTCATCTCCCCAGCCGCTCATGGAAGTTGTATTAGCTGCTCATCATCTCAACTGTGATCTCTTCCTGAAGATAAGGAAGAGAGATGCTGTTTAGGGCTAGTGTCCTTGGGAAATGGTAGGTTGGGACCAGCAGTCCCTAGACTGTAGGTCTGAGAAATGTGTGTGTGTGTGTGTGTGTGTGTGTGTGTGTGTGTGTGTGTGGGTGTGGGGGGGGGGGGGCTTTTCACTATCTGAAAAGTTAAAGACGTGGCCTGCCCATCATTTGCCTCCTGCTGGCCTTGAAATCTAGAGGCTCCATGGCCTAGAGGGAGATCACCTTAGCTTCCCTTCAGCGAACCCCAAATACCTCTGCCTCCTCTTTCAGCTTGCAGAATGGTTTATGGTGAGAATGTGAAAATGTTGGCCTAATGCCCAGACCTAATTGATTAAAGCATTTTTCTTCGAGTAGAGAGAGACTCCAGTGAACATTGATCCCACTCTGGTGTGTAACAGCTGAGAATAAACTGTTGGGTGAGGAAGGGACTTGCCAGAGGTCAGGGGATAAGAGAGCACCGCCTGGCTCCGGCAGCTTGTTTTGTGTAAATCCGACCTCATTGCGAGACATGCCTCAGGCTGCTTCATTTCATAAACCTTGAAAAAATTGAAGCTACTTTTTATTTGCAGTACATACACACCTCATATCATGTTTCTTTAGAGAAGGTACAAGCTGGCCCAATGTGCGTTAAATATCTGTAAATGCATACTGAATGGCTGCAATGTCCTCAAGTTAGAACCACAGGCTGGGAGAAAGCCGAACTCTTGCTGATTTCAAAATGAGCTCTGATTTCTATGTCTGGCTCAAGCATCTTCTGGTTGTGTGGTCTTGAGGGGTCATTCACGTCTCAGGTCTGCAGTCTGTAGTATGAAGAGAGTGAGTGAGTGAGTGCCTTGGTTTGAATGTGAAAGGTCCCCACAGGCTCTCGTGTGCAGGCACTGCTTCCCCTGGTGGTGTCGCTGTTGTGGAATCTTTGGGATGTGAGGGGCTACCTGGTGGAAGCAGACCTCTAGGGACAGGTTGTTGGAGATCACATTTGCCTCTGGTGCCCCTCTGCATGCTCTGCTTCTGGCTTGTATGTGAGGAGTCTCTGTCCCCAGCTCAGCTAGGATGTCTACTCTGTATTTCATTTTAAAAAATGACCCAAAGTAGCTTGGGGAGGAAAGGGTTTACTACATTCTCCAGCTCATAGTCCTGATGTAGGTGGGTCTTCTTTCTATGTGTTGTTTTCATTAGTTAATTAATAAAGAAACTGCTTGGCCTGATAGGTCAGAACATGGGTGGAGTAGACAGAACAGAATGCTGGGAAAAAGAAAGCAGAGTCAGACAGGCGCATGAATTTCCAGCCCAAGATGGATGTAGGTTAGAATCTTCCCGGTAAGCCACCACTTCGTGGTGCTACACACATTAATAGAAATGGGTTAATCAAGATGTGAGAGTTAGCCAGTAAGAGGCTAGAGCTAATGGGTCAGGCAGTGTTTAAGTGAATACAACTTGGTGTGGTTATTTCGGGGGTAAGCTAGCCAAGATTTGGGTGGGAACGCAGCCCACCACTCCTTTTGCAACATAGTCTATCGTCGAGTAAAGTCAAGGCAGGAACTCAAGGAAGGAACCTGGAGGCAGGGACTGATGCATAGACCATGGAGGGACACTGTTTACAAACTTGCCCAGGACCACTGCCTAGGGGTGGCAACCTGTCAGTGAGCTGGGCCCACCTACGTCAATCATCAATTAAGGAAATGCACCATAGGCTTGCCCACAAGCTAGGGATATTTTCTCAAGGGAAGTTCCCCCTTCCCAGATGTCTGTAGCTTGTGTCAAACTGACAGAACTAGCCTGCATACCCATACAGCCCCTGCCACTGATTTCACCATGCTTTTCCCATCAGGATGAACTTTGAAACTGTGAATCTGAAGTCATTTTTATCATCTCTGTCAGGCACTGCAGTCCCAGCACCATGGAAGCAGCGGCACAGAGGACTAGCCTGGTCTACCGTGCATCATCCACGAGGGTTCATGAGCTCCTCTCTGAGTTTATGACCACAGACATACGGGAAAACAGTGAAGAATCACATGCAATTACCCTGTGGCTGTTGCCACAGGTCTTAGAGTTAGGTCTCTCAGCTCTCAAGGGGACTGGAGTTCCCTGGGCAGATCTGGAGTCTACCTGATGGACCAAAGTTTCAATCCTCTCTTGATATTTGGATATCACACACTGAATTAGATCCTAGCAAAATCCAGGGTGATATCCCTTCCAGGTACAAACCAGTTGATGCCTCACTGCCTCAGAACCCTCACTGGCAGAGTAAACTTCTTCCATTGACGGCCCAAAGCCTGCCCTCTCTGACTGTTTTATACTTTCCTCCTCAGAGCAGGGTGGCTTTTTGTTTGTTTTTCTTTTCTTTCCTTTGCTCCCTCTCTCCCTCCCTTCCTCTCTCCCTCCCTCCTTCTTTTCTTCTCTCCCTCCTTCTCTCCCTCCCTCACTCCTTCTTTTCTTCTCTCCTTCCCTCCCTCCCTCCCTTCCTTCCTCCCTCCGTCCCTTCCTCCCATCCTCCTTTCCTCTTCCACCTCTCCCTTCTCCTCCTCCTCCGTCAACTAAGTCTTACTATGTATCTATAGCCAGCCTGGAATTCACTATGTACACCAGGCTGGCCTTGAACTCACAGAGGTCCACCTGTGTCTGTCTCTGGCATGGTGGGATTAAAGCTGTAAGATGTACACTTACCATGCTCAGCTTGCTTTTCAATTTTTTTTAAGTGGGGTATTTAAATAGGCTAGTCTCTAACTCCTGTGTTCAAGCCATTCTCCCATATTTCCCTGCTGAATGCTGGGCCCCTAGGAGAGGACCACTGTGTCTAGATGTCCTTATACATAAACAGCATTCTGGTAAATAAAGTATTGCTAGGGCACAGCAACTTCCACTTATCTCTGTCTTTTCTGTAGCTAAATTTGCAGAACAATAGTGAATTGCTGAAACAGAGGCTGTGTGGTTCACACAGCACAGCCTGGAAATGTCTGGCCATTTACGGGAAACGGCTGGCCTGAGTGTCCTCCCTTGCCAAATGGTAGCCATCTTGCCTTGCAGCTGTGCTGCCCCCACACAGCAGGGCTACAGCTGTTTTATATCTTGATGGGGCCTACTCTGGGTGTCATCTGCACTGCAGAACTCGGTTCCTCCAGGGTCAGGATGAGGCTGGACCCACTGTTCCTCATCTGCTGAGCCTTTGCTCTGCTGTCCCTGCCTCTCTGTGCTCCTGATCGTCTGAGCATCTGGCGCCAGAGCTTCTCCTGGGCTATGTTTCTAAGGATCTTGCCTTTTTTTTTTTTTTAATGTGGTAGTTCTGGAGGGTCAAGCTTAGGGTGTCCCACATGCTAGCTAAGTACTCTATCGTAAGCCAAACCCCTTATGCTAACTAAGTATTCTATGCTCTAGCCAAAACCCCTTTTGTTATCTAAGTGCTCAATCATCAGGTCTCACCCCTCTAGAACCTTTCCCACAATCTCTTGAGTGGCAGCCCAGTTTTTAAACAGAGAGAACCGTATGTGTGTGTATGTGTGTGTGTGTGTGTGTGTGTGTGTGTGTGTGTGTTGTTCGGAAGCTTTGTCTACCCTTTCCCTTTGTCAGCCCGTCTCAATGCCCCCAGATTCCAAGGATCCTGTTGAACACTGACAAATCAATGCCTGGCTAGGTGCATAGTGGAGTTTGACACTGGGAACTGTTATAACCGCCAGTGTCCCAGCTTTGGCTTTTTCAGGAGCATGTAAAGAGCATGTACGTTTTCAGCAACTGCATGTGAGAACTTCTGCATGAGACTCCGGAAAGCCTGAGATTCTGCAGCTGTGTGTGAGGGTGAACTGAGGTAGAGGAGACACTTCAGCAACCAGAGCTGGGAAACAAAAGCCCGGATGGTATGATTTGGGGACTGCTCCTCATTCTGACAGTCCAGGGAACTTGGGGTGGGGTGGAATGGGTTACTCTGAGAGTTTTGGGAAGAAGGCATCTCAAAGGTGCCAAACCTGCTGGGGTAGGGGAGGGACTCCTGGCTCCGGCCCTCTCTTTCCGAGGCAGCCGAGCCCCCTCCTCTCTACTAACCTCAGAGTTATATGGGTCTAGAAGACAACCAGGGAGACAGTTTGTTGTTAAAATAACCAAGTTCATTTTGGGCACATTGAAAAGAGACAGAGAGAGAGGGGAAAAAAAGCTATTTCCTAGTGTCTAAATCTCATTAAAAAAGCAATTTTGCAATCAATTACAATGCAATTTAGCCACTAACTGTTTAATTATATATTTTAAAAAAGCAGAAACAGAAGATGCAGCCAGAGTGAGTTCGTTCTTCCTGTCCCCATACTAAGAGCCAGGCCGAGAGGGACTGTCTTTGGATGAGGTTTGGGCAGCAGGATGAGTGGTTGGCCTTCCAAATCAGTACGTTATTCTAGCCCGAGGAGGTAGCCGCACTAGAACACTGCCGCTGGATTCATTCGCTCTTTTCTACAAGAGCTCGGACCTTTCTTATTCTGTCATGCACTATAAAAATTGTATAATTCTGTGTGGCTTTTATTAAAGGAACATTATTTCTATAAATTATTTTTTAATGCTGTGGAAAAATTTGCCTTCTGGAACCATCTTGGTAAAAATAATCTGCAGATGAAATAGAGACTCAGGTCTACAGAGTGCTGGAGATATCAAAGCCTGGAAGAGAGAAGTGGATAAAAAGTCTGGGCGTGGTGGTGCACATGTTTAATTCCAGCGCTCCAGAGACAGAGGCAGGAGGATCTCTGTGAATTTGTAGCCAGCCTAATCTACATAGTGAGACCCATGGCAGATAGCTCTACACAGTGAAACGCTGTCAAAAACAACAGAACAAAAAAGCAAAATGGATATGCTGGGGAAAGCTATACACCCTGGAGGGAAAGACACAGGGTTAAATGGGGCCGGTAGAATCTGGAATTGCTGGGGTGGAGGTGGGGATGGTGCAGCAATCTGCTCCTGCCTGGTCTTCAGTCCTTCCATCTCAACTCTCAACCCCAGCGAAGAGGAAGATAATGCTGACCACACTCATGAATTCCTTTGATCACCTCGCAGGCTTTTTTCCTCTACTCTGTGGTTTATGTTCAACTGTATTCCAGTATTGCTAGTTTGTGCCTTTGGTCCTGAGAATCATATACTCTGGATATCCCTCTGGTTATAGATAATAACCCCTTGTCTCTGTGTGTGTTCATGTCTGTGTGTGTACATGTATACATATAGGTCAAAGTCAAAGGATAACATCCAGTGTCATTACCCAGGAACTATTTGCCTTTTTTTTTTTGAAACAGGGTCTCTCATTGGTCTAGAGCTCACCAACAGGTGGGGCTGGCTGGCCTGAAAGTCCAAGAGATCTACCTGCTAGTAATCCCACTTGTGCTGGGATTACAGGTGCATGCCACTATGCCTGGCTTCTTAAATATGGGTCTTGGATTAAACTCAGGGTTCTTATGCTTGAAAGGCAAGTGCTTTACCAAGTGACCCATGTGTGGCTCCGCTTCTCACTTGGGTGGTATATTCCATTCAGAGGGCCTCAACCCCTGCCTCATTGGACATACTCAAGGGAAGACTTTTGAGTTCCTTCTGTTGACCAAAGAGAACAGAGGGAAATCTATTGAGGGTGCCTTTTTTTGGGGGGTGGGGCAGTAACAGAATGGATACTCATTCTTTGTGAGATCTACATGACCAGTTATCAGCCATCTGTTTTTAAAATGTATTCCTGTTGCATGGGGGCTAGAAGATGCAGTGATGTCATTCAGGGAAATGTAGCACTTCAGCTGTAGCCCAACTATCTATGCAAGTCCACCGAGCCCTGGCCAAGGCCTGTGTTCACAGAAGTCTTTCAACCAAAGAAGACCAATATCAGGACCCAAGAAGCCTAATGTCAGGAATCACTGTTCCCTATTCTTGGGCCGAGAGTTACATTGGCCCCAGCATGGGCTGTGATTCTGGTTGTAGGCTGTGATTCTGCTAATGATACTTCCCAGTCAAGGACTAAGTTCTAGGCTTGGACCAAATGCCAGACTTGGATGGAGCTTTGCATCATTCGAGCCATGAGCTAGCTGCAGCTACCTCTGTCTACACTTTCTCCCATGCATCTGCCATCATCATGTCCCCAAAGCGAAATGGCTCCTCCACCCCAAGATGTGACTTGCATCCTGGTTCTGGGTCCAAAAACTTTGGGGCTCTGTAGGTGGGGAGAAGATGCTGGAGCGTTCCTGCATTCTAAGTGCTGTTCTGGAAAATGCGTGAAGGAGGTCTGTGGAGAAGGAGGAGGCGCTGACTTCGGGAGCTGTGAAGCGCGATAATGATGAAAGCGGAAGAGATGACTGCTGACTACATGGTGCCTGCAGTGCGCCAGGCCTGGGAAGAAGTGCCTGGTCCGCGTTATCTCACAGAACCCTCGCAGTGTTGGAAGTCAGGATTCCTACGTTTTCCACTTCACATAGAGTCCACTGACTAGACTGGCGTCTTACTGGCTCAGGCAAGTCAAACCTGGGCCTTTGTGACTTCATGCAAGGTGCTTTAAGGCTCAAGCTGTCTGTGAGAATGACCACAGTGGGTGGTGACACACTCTGATTAGCACTTTGGAAAGATGATTTGGGTGAGGGGCGTCTGAGTTTGGTAGAGATTGGAGGCTGGAGGCAGGTGAGGAGGCTGCTGCAGATTCATCTGTGAATTCTGGTGAGGAGAAGCCGTACAGCCAGCGGCACTGTCTGAACTTATTTGAGGACATGGCCGTGTGAAGTGGAGTCCAGACAGAGACGACCTGCAGTTGGTCCTTGTCCCCAGCTTCCTCCCTTCAGTTGGAGTGCACCTGCTGGGCCAGCCCTGACCACTCTGTTCACTTGCCGCTCTTGCTAATTCCCCGATCTGCTTGGCTCTGAGCGGTGCAACAGACAGAACACCTAATTATGTATTGATTTCCTTCCAGAGATGCACAGCTGTGGGTGAATGCGGAGCCTTCGCGGCCCTACACAAACACAATCTGAGGAATAAGAGGGTTTGGCTGAGGTGGGGAAAGTCGGAGGAGTCGACTAGGTTAGGGAGGCCCTGACAGCACAGGACCGAGCTGCCTACTGGAGGAGAAGCTCACTGTAGCCTCCCGGTGGTTCAGGAACAGTCAGAAGCTGGCCTGGGGAGGGTACAGCTGGGACACAGAGGCCGGCTCTTAGCTGCCACCATGGCCAGGTGAGCAGAGCATGGAGAATTCCACCTGCCCATCTGCCCCTCCCTCCTCCCCCGGCTCTGCTTTCTCGGATTTCTCCCAGGTGATTAAACTTGGTGGTATTTTGCCAGATGGCATGTTCTCCCACTTCCCCAGGCCTCCAGGGACTGTCTGGAACACGGGCCAAGCTCCCTTACCTCAAAATTATATTAAGGAGTTTAATTAACAGAAATGACTCCACAACCCATAGATCACACCAGGAGTGCGCCTGCCAC